TGCAGCTGCTTGTTGCAGATCGTCTCCTTCCTGCTTCTTATTTCTACGAAGCTCGAACAGCGATGACGGTTTAAATAATGCAGAATCCACTCAGCATAACGAGATGTGGCTCAATCCACAATAAAACACCTGAATGCTGTTTAAATGCACTAAAAACACATAATTCCACCAAAACATTGAAGCTCAAACGCGTATATTTGGTATAAGTTTCATATTTTGCTATAAATTGTGTGTGTTCTGTTAGATCCAGGTGGTTTTTGTTCCCGGACACAAAGCGGTGAAACAGGTGAAGTGTTTGTTGGACACCTGACGGTCTGTTTATCCTCCAGATCTCCGTCTGGTCCTCCCACCTCGTCCTCTCTTGACTCCATCACCTCCCTCCGTCCCGTTAAAGCTTCATCCTTCCCCCTCGCCTCTCTCTATTAATTTATATGGCCGTCTCCCTCTTCCTCCTCTGCCTCCTCCTCCTCCTCTCTGCTCCGGCGTAATGAGTAAATGCCTCATTAGCGGCGAGCTCTGATTAATGCCGTCTCCCCTTGTTGTGCTCCTCTTTTTAATGAGTAAAATCTCTTTAAATTCCTCCCTCCGTCTGTCACGTCCTTTTATTCTCCCTCCACCTCCTCTCGGTTTGGAAAAGGCGGTCGGTGATAATAAACTATTTCGTCTGCTCGCGTCTTAACGAGATCTTTCGCGCGCAAACACCGAAATAATTCTCGACGAGACGCTGGCAGGAAGCTGAGCTCCACACTTGTGGAATCTGGGAACAAAAGGAGCTGCGAGGGAGATGAAGGGGCATTAATTAACGCACTTTATGTATTATTTACACTGTTTTTTAAAATATATAGAGACTGTGAAACGAGTTTAGTTTGAGAGAGAATCAGCAACAGAAATGAGCAAAAGTTGAGTCATTAAAGGGCGTTTTAGCTCAATATCAACCCGCCTTCTTAAAGAAAGATTAACGATATGATGGAGAGCACGCCCCTATGATATATGCAGGATATTTATATACAGTAAATATGAACCAGGAGACGG